ATTAGCGAGGAAAATGAAGCAGTAATCAAAAGTCTCCACCAATGAAAAGCCCATGGAAGTGGATGATTTCACTATAGAATCTATCAAACATTTAAAGAAAAATTAATACCAATCCTCCTTAAACTCTTTCAAAGAACTGAAGAAGAGGAAATTGCTCCAAATTTCATCTTATGAGACCAGCCTTACCCTAATATCAAAACCAAAGACTTGACAAGAAAACTAAAGACTAACACCTTTGATGAATATTGATGAAAGACTCCTCAACAATATATCAGCAAACCAACAGTACATTGAAAGGACTGCATAGCATGACAACTCAGATGTGTGTTTGGAATGAAGAATGGTTCAATGTGTAAAAATCAAGGGGCGAATATACCACATTAACAGAATAAAAGATAAAAACTGGATGATCATCTTGATTGATGCAGAAGAAGCATTTGACAAATTTAATACCCTGTCATGATAAAAACTGTCAATGAACCAGAAGCACATTACTTCAACATAATAAAAGTCATGTATAAGAAATCTACAGCTATGGGCTGGGGCTGTAGCTCAGTGGGAGAGCACCTGCTTTGCATATGTAAGGCCCTGGGTTCAGTCCTAAGCACCACATAGAAATGAATAAATAAAGATATTGTTTCCATCTACAACTAAATAAATATTTAAAAAAGAAAAAGTTACAGCTGATATCACACTCAATGGTGAAAGACAGAAAGCTTTTCCTCTAATATTAGGAAGAAGGCAAGAATGCTCACGCTTGCCATTGTTATTATTCAATATAGCACTAGAATCAGACAAGAAATAAAAGGCATCCAAACTGGAGAGGAAAGTGCTCACAGATGACAAGATCTTACATATAGAGACACCTGAAGATTCCACAAAAAAACTGCTAAAACGAATAAATGACTTCAGAACATTGCAGCACACAAAACTGACACACAAAAATCAGGTTTATGTCTATGCAATAACAATGCCCAACTGGAAAAGGAAATTAAAAAAACAATCCAATTTACCATAGCAGCAAAAAGATAGACTACTTAGAAGTAAACTTGCCTTATCCCCAGTCCCACAAAAAAAAAAAAAAAAAAAAAAAATAGAAGTAACTTGCCCTAAGAGATACCCATGAACACTGAAAACTCAAGACACTTTAAAAGACATAAATAAATGGAAAGAAATCCCATGCTCGTGGATTGAAAGACTCCATACTGTTCAAATGTCCACACTCTTCAATCCAAACCACAGATTCAGTGCAATTCCTATGAAAGTCTCAATGGACTTTTCAAAAAAAATTTTAAACAGATACAACATTTTTTATACCTTTATTTTATTTATTCATTTTTATGTGGTGCCGAGGATCGGACCCAGGGCCTCACACACGCCAGGCGCTCTACCACTGAGCTACAACCACAGCTGCCGCAGTCTGGCTGGGCACAAAATAACCGGGAGGTCACGAGCCACTTATAGGTTCAAACAGGAACTACTTTATTGCCAGAACCCAACAGGAACTCTCTAGAACTCCATGGAAACTCCGCGAGAACCAACGGGAACTCCGCGAGAACTCAAAAGTAGCGGGCACCCGGGCACCCGAGGTAGCAGGAGCCGCCTTATTGCTGGACAGCAGAGGTTTATATACACAACTGAATACACAGCTTGTTTCAATTTAGCATCATCCAGTTACAGCAATCAGTCATTATCTTAATAATTATACACAGCTTAACTTAATTATCAACATCTTAATGGCTCGCTGGCGTTACTTCTCAACCACTCCTTCTGGCAAAATGCCAGGCGCCATCTTATTGTGGCTCTCAACACACAGCCCCTCAATAGAATTTTTTGCACAAATAGAAAAACTACCCTAACATTCATAAGAATTCTCAAGGGAGTTCAAATAACCAAATAATCTTGGGAAAAAAGATAATAAAGTTGGAGGTCTCTCATTTTCTGATTTTAAAACATACTAAAAAGCAATGGTAATCAAGAAATACAGTACCGGCAATACAGTCAGCTATAGAGACTGATGGCCCAGAACAGAGAACCCAGAAAGAACCCTGGCATCTACAGCCAAGTGGTTTTCATCCAGGATGTCAAGACTACACGGTGAGGGAAGAGGCACCTCTCCCACAGATGGTGCTGGGGGAGCTGCAGACACACAAGCAAAGGCGTGGAGCTCAATCCCGACTTACACCCAAACAAACAAACGAAAGCTCACTCAACATGGATTAAAGACCTAAACATAACCTGGAAAGCTGCAGAGCTTCCTGTTGTGAAGCATTATCCACACGTAGGGGAGAGGCTTCAGGTCACTGGATTGGGTGGGGATTTCTTGGATATGGCATCAAAAAGTACAGGCAACAGAAGCAAAAATAACCTGCATGGCAGGTTATGATGTGCATGTACCTAAAAATTTCTGCATGTTGAAGGAAATGATCAACAGAATGAAGAAGCCATTCAGGGAATGAGAAAAAACTTGGAAATCACATATCCAGTAAGTGGCTAATAACCAGAAAACATAAGGACGTCTACAACTCAAAGAGAACAACAGCAAAATGACCTAACCTAAATGTGGGCCAAGGTCTTGGATAGACACTCCTCCAGGGAAGACCCCAGATGGCCCACAGGCATATGAAAAGGTGCTTTGCATCACCAACCACAGAAGGCAGATCCAAACTACCAGGAACTACCAGCCACGTCCATGTGGATGGCACGATCAGAACAGAAAATAAAAAGCATAGATGAGGATCAGGGAACTTGGGAGTCCTTGTGGGAATGTAAAATGCTGTTCTAATTATGGAAAATAGTGTGGAGGACACTAAAAAACTAAAGGTAGAATGACTGTGTGATCCAGCCATCCACCCCTGCGCGTACACCCAAGAGAACTGAATGCAGGGTCTCAAAGGCACACCCATGGTCACAGAGCATTATAGACAAAGTGTGGAAGCAACCCAGCATCCATCAACAGAATGGATAAAAAAGCGCATGACACACATCCAACGGAATATTACCCAGCCTTAAAAATGAAACTACTCACGTGCTATGACATGGACGAATCTTGAGGACATTATGCCACGCAAAATAAATAGGCTAGTCACAAAAGGACCAGCGACTCCACTCACTTGGGACAAAGCAGGGGGTAGCCACCAAGGGCTGTTCGGAGGGGAGCGGGGACAGCTGTTAAGGAACGCAGAGTGTCAGTCTTACAATATGGAAGCGCTCTAGAGATGTCTTGCGCCCAGTAGGAATATGCGCAGCGCTGCCAAACTGCACTCTGTAGTCGAGACGGCAAATTCAATGCCACGTGTTTCTTCCCATGGTGAAAAAGCCTACCAGATGGAAACCTGCATCTTAAAGAAGCAAGTCAATCTTGTTGATCTCACATCCAGATGAGTCAGTCCTACCCATGCTGCCAGTTAGAATCCAGGTCATTTTGTGTTGGTTACAAATAGAAGTTATTCAAACGAGTACTGAACAGATGTAAGACGAGGCCAACAGTTGCCTTTTAAAGGTCTGAAGATCACTGCAAAAACAATTTTCTTAAAATGCATGGAAACTAAATTCGTGAAACTCTATGTGATGAAACCCGGCAGAACGTGCGAGGCAAAGGACGGTCTTTATATAAACTCTGTGTCTTCAAAGATGCCAGACATTTGTTTAACGTGGCACCAGCTCAGCACCCATTCTGAAGCTTGACATAATTATTCGAAACCCAGTTGTACCTTGTCACCTTTGGCCCGGTAAAACATCCTCTCCGTATCGGTGACGTGACCCACTCACTCTTCGTCTCAGACACCCAAAACCCAACCCATGGTCTACACTAGAACCCACAAGCCAGGTCTCCACTTGGTACAGGTAATTAAAGCACTGTCCACCACACTCCTGGAAAGCCTGGGGACATCCCGTGGCCCCTGCTGCAGGCATGGCCCACGGCCTGGCTGAGCACTGGGTGTCACCACAGGACACCTTCTTCCTTCAGGGGCCTGTGAATAATAAAGTGCTCTGGGCAGGTTGAGTCACCTGATGTGTCCCAGCCAACGACACGAACCCAACTTCTTCCCAGGGCAGGGCTCCCCCGACAGTGGCCATCTTGGTCAGTATAAACTGGACATGGGTCAGACAAGAGCCACAGAGGCGTTTTCCAGTACAAACAAGTTTCCTGTGAGAGGGACACAGTTGGACACAGGCCTCAGGCCTCTGCCAAGACAAAGAAGTCTCGCATGAAAGGCTCCCTGCGAACACCCACGGCCAAACCCCCAGGGCCAAACCCCCAGGGCCGGGGCAGGAGAGCTCAGGGCCACTTTCTAGAGAGACCATGAGAGTCACCAGTGCATCAAAGGCAGCAGTTGTCTGTCCCTCCGAGCCCACAGGCACTGCAGGGCAGGCCACCAACCCCCGGCGCCAAGGCCATGGGTGTGCTAAGGTACCCGCCCAGTGTGACAAGCCCCGGAGCCAGAGCTGCACAAGAGCTTCTTCAAGGTTTCCATAACGTGTGAGCACCCAGTACTCAATTCCCACAGCCTGCGAGTTTAGACTGGCTATAAACATTAACATTTTAATATGACAATTATGAAACAACAGAAAAATTAAGAGAAACTACGATCTGGCAAATGACACCAATATCTAGAACTCTGCTGTTAGACACTAGTTAAAAGCAGGAGTCTATCTGAACTTTACAGATAGGAACTTAGAAGTTGCTATGGCAATCTGAATACTGCGGATTTGGGAATACTGCGGATTTGGGAACAACACAGTCACTTTTACCTACATTGTAATCCCATTTGCTTTTATAAAGAGACCCCAAAATGAAAACACAGAATGGCACCCTGTGGTTGTAGCCAGTGATTCACAGACAATTATATCTAAAACAAGAACACTACACTATACAGCTCCCGGAACGGCTGGACTTCAAGTTCTAACCCACACGAAAAACTGGGGACTGTCACATAAAAGGTCACATCTCTTCAAAATCTAAGAAGGGACTGCTTTAGAATTGAGCTAAGGCCTACCTTTTGGTTGCCGGCATAGGGGTTTCCTTCCTGGCCCCGGAGGGGGACGGCAGGGAGCCGCTGGGTTTCTTTGGTAACACGGTGCCATTGTTGACGGTGGTTCTTAAAGGCAGGGTCTGCACCAGTGGTCTTGCTGTAAGACAAGCAGAAGAGGAATCAGAGCGTCCCCTGTAAGTGGTGCTGTACAGAACTTAAGCTCATATAGAAAGGAAGAGGACGCCCATGTTTGGAATCCTTGCAGAGCTGGGTGTGGTGGTGCCCGCCAAGACCCGGGGGCTGGGGGTTCAGGCGGGAGGATGGCAAGCTCCAGGCCAGCCTGGGCAACTTAAGGAGACCCTGTCTTGAAATACAAAGTGAAGGGCTGGAGGTGGCTCGGTGGGAGAGTGCCCTGGGTTCAACCCCAGTCCTGGAAAATGAAAACAGCCAGAGAGCTGACGCAGGAGGAAGGCGAGTCCTCCACCACGCGGTGCTCGTCAACCCGGAGGCCAGCTCACACCCCACACAGAAAGGAGCTCAGTGAAATGTGCAAACGCTGGGGCTGGGGCTGGGGCTCAGCAGTAGAGCGTTCGCCTAGCTCGAGCAAGGCCCTGGGTTCGATCCTCAGCACCACATAAAAATAAATAAAATAAAGGTATTGTGTCCACCTACAACTAAAAAGTAAATATTAAAAAAAAGTGCAAAACTCTGACTTTCTAGAAGCAAGCATCCTAGGGTCTGGTGATGGGATTATAGATACATCACCCAAAACACAATTCATGAAAGAAAAAAATGGACAGCATGAGCCTCATTGAAATTCTCTTAAATTCCTGAAAGACACTTAAGAGGATGAAAATACAAGTCATTGACTGGGAGAAAATAGTTGTGAATTACATACCTGATAAAGGACTCGCATAAAGAAAATAAAAGGAACTCTCAAAATTCAACAACAAGAAAATAAACAGCCCAGTGTAAAAAACAGGCAAAAGATCTGAAAAGACTTCTACCAAAGAAGATGTACAGATGGCAAATAAGCATATGAAAAGACACTCCCCATCACCTGTCATTAGGGAAATGCAAATTAAAACAATAATGAGATACCTCTACACACCTAGTAGAAGGGCTGAAATCCAGAACAGGTCAGACACCCTTGCTGGCCAGGACGCTGGGCCCCGGGACCCTCCTTCCTTGCTGGAGGGAAAGCAGTCGACACAGCCATTTCGGAAGACAGTCTGGCAGTTTATGAAGCTAAACATAGGCTTACCATATGATCCAGTGATTGTGCTGACACTAGGTATTTACCCAATCCATCTGAAAACTTATGTCTACACAAACCTGCATGTAAATATTTAGAGCAGCTTCATTTGTGACTGTCATAAACTGGAAGCAATCAAGATTCCCCTGGACAGGTAAACAGAGAAATAAAGTGCTCTCGTCACAGAGTGGACGTGACTTGGGATTTAAAAGGGACAAACCAAGGTACCAATAGCATGGCTGAGTGAGCCACGCTGGGAGTTTGTGTCGTTCCAGTCACATGACATTCTGGAAGGGCACGTTGGCCGAGGCTGGTGTGGGGTCAAGCAGGAGACGTTCTAGGTTATTCTGTGATGCTGTGGTGGTGGATATATGCACCACGCCTTGTGAAAACCCAGAGACCCACCAAGAGTGGAACTGGATGTAACCAAGTAAAATCCAACGTGGAGATGGGACCCGTGACGGAATGCAGATTGCAAACAAGAATCTACCTGCATTACGAAAACTTTTTTTTTTTCCCCCAGCACTGAGGATTGAGCCCAGGACCTCCTGGAGGCTAGGCAAGTGTTCTGCCACACCTCCAGCCACACCTCCAGCCCTGACCCTACTGCAGATGCATGCCACAACCCCGCTGAGCAGGGTGAGGGGAAGTGACCACCTGGAAACTCTGGAGGTCAGAAGAGACTGGAAGACAAAGACAGAGGAACTGCGCAGAGCACGGTGTGCTGGTGGTGACCAGCCCTGGGAGGCAGTGGTGATGGGAGGAGCAGGGTCTCTCACTGGTGGATGAGTGACAGATAGGCAAGGGGGAGATAAGGAGAGAAACACTCAGCGACAGAGAACTCCCAAACCCGGGATGGAGGGGGCAGGCCAAAGGGACACAGGAGCCAACTGAAAGTTCCCAGTGGCCAGAGCTGGAACAGAGTGCTAGATTGTAACCAAAGGGCAGTGTAGGTATTCATAAGCACAGACTAAAAAATAAATGACTGCACTCACCCCGCCCCCCCAAAAATAAAATTAAATAAATAAATGGTTGCATGAATAAATGAACGGGGACACCCCCAGGCAGAATGACAATGTCCATGTTCTTGACTTTTTTTTATAGGTACTCCCTCCAGAAGGCCGGGCTCAATTCCCACTCCTTCAGTGTGGGTGGCCCAGTGACTTCCTTCCAAACAGGACACAAGGTGGAGCAGGGAAAGCCTGACCCCTCACAAGGTGGTCAGTATGGGCAGAGGTGAGTCACGCCCAGGGCCTGTACCCCGGCAGGAGATGGGAAGAGAGTGACACTCGCCATGGTCTTCCTGCCTGAAACCACAACCCGAGTCTAACCAGGAGTGTAGAAGGCGGCCCCCCTACACTGAAGGCCAAGGAACCCCCTGACCAGAATTCCCCCAAACTGCCCAGTCATCAAAACAGGGGGCCCGTCAGTCTAGCAGGGCCTTGGGAGACAGATGACTAAGCAAAATGGTGTCCTGGATGGATGGGTTCCTGGGACACAGCAAGGGCAGGGGCAGTGAGGAATCTGACAGAGGATGGGCTTTCGTTAACACTGCACCAACGGTGGCCCCGGAGAATTGTGAGCAAGAAGGTCACTGGCACAGGGTCCAGGGGACTGCCTGCCCCTGCAACCCTTCGGTAAATATAAGCTATTCTAAAATTAAAGTTCATTTCAAAACACTAGCATGATTTATTTTGTTAATCACAAAATTAAATCTGCCTTAAATTTAGGGTCTTCAAATTACCCATGACAATTCCACACAAAATGCCAATTTTAAAATACCTTCTAGTGCTGAGGCAGAGGTACTCCCTTGTTATTTTAATGCAAATAAAGTGGAAAGCCAGTAAGCCAGCACCAGGGAGCGGCCCCCCTTCACTCCTGAACTGTCTGCCCGCCATGAGCCTGGCCCTCCTCAGTAGACACGTCATGGCTCCCATCCAAGACCCCAGTCTCTCTCTCACATCTGCTCTCCTTCCTGCTGTCCGCCTCATCTCAGCCTCCTCTCTCGGCCCGACCCACCTTTCAGTCTCATCCATTCTTTAAGAATACACAGTGGCCGGAGTTATAGCTCAGCAGTAGAGCGCTTGCCTAGCACATGTGAGGCCCTGGGTTCGATCCTCAGCACCACATAAAAACAAATAAAGGTATTGTGTCCATCTACAATAAAAAATTATATATATATAAAAGAATATACATACTGAGTTCCTAACTTGGATGCACCAAATTTGCATCCGCTGGGAACCTCAGAATATGGCTGTATTTGGAAACTGGGTCTTTACAGGTGTTATCAAGGTAGGGAGCCAGATGAAACCGTTGGATTGGGTGGTCCCTAAACACAGTGAGAGTTCCCTCACAAGAAGGCCATGTGTGGACGCCCAGGGGAAGGCTGTGTGAAGAGGCAGGGACCAGCGTGATGTGTCTCCAGCTGAGGAGCACCGAAGACTTCAGGAGCCACCAGAAGCTAGTGGAGCCGTGGAGCAGCGCTCCCTTGGAGTACAGAAGGAACTACCTGCTGACACCTTGATTTGGGCCCAGAGAGTGAGTGGGCTTTGGTGGCACTGTCCTTTTTGTCCCCACTGTTGCTCTCTCTGAGTCTCCCCTCTCAGCCTTCCAGCACCAGCACATCTCCCGCCATCTGCTTCTGTCCAATCCAGTCTCCTTACAGCTCTGGGCAGAACACCCCAGCAACACTCCTGTCTGCCACGCAACTAGCGCGAGCTTCATAAAAGAAGGTTTGATGCATAAAAAATTGCTAGTGAGTTTTAAATTAAAGAGGCAGACTCTCGTTTACCTTTATTCACAGCTCCAGGACGGCTTCTCCTAGCTCCCGCCTCCAGCCACCTAATGCGGTGGCGAGGTTTACAGAAGAGACTATCGAGAGAGGGAGCGCACGCCAGGGAGTGAGCTTTTATTGGGGAACAAAAAATTCAAGGGAAAATCCCATCCAATGAAGGTTAAGGGGGGCAGCATCCCAAGGTCAGGGCCAGCTACTGGGTCTTCGGGGCAGTGGCCAGGCACGCCTCTGCATGGACAAGCCCTCGTACCTGGGACAGGGTGGGGAAGGCTCTGACACGGCTGTGTCTAAGCGCCTCTCACCCAGCCAGGGAGGTAACTCAAATCACGTGCGAGGATGGCCTCCCACACTCCTGGGCCCTGGGGAGCCTGCTGCTGCACCTGCTGCAGTTGGTCAGTCCAGGCAAATGCCACAGCTGGAACGACAGCAGTCCCCGAGCGCGTGGAGCTGGGCAGGGTCAGCAACGTGGAGCACACAGCGTCTCCTGATCAGCACTGAGGCCTGGCCTGACTCCCACTTTACAACCAGGTCTCAGGAGAAGGGAGGCTGGCTTGCCTCCCGAGGGCTGGGCTTACAGGTGTGCTCCACCACACCTGGCTGCTCGATCCTTCTTGAGGGATGGAGCTGAGAGTGGGCACGCGGAAGTGGCAGCTGATGAAGTGGCAGCTGATGTCCCGTGGCCACATCGGCATGGAGGAATGCTCCGTTTTGGACACCAGGGTGCATCCTGAGTGGCATGAGTCATGGTGGAGGGACCTGAGGCGGCCCGGGGTGCTCCTGGGCACACCAGGAGAGCTGGAGGGAGACCCCAGTCACGCTCTCGTCCAGCGTCACTTCTGCACTGATGCCAGGCAAAGGGAGGCAGGTGGCAGAGCAGGGCAGGGACTCAGGTGTAAGGTCAGGAACCAGGGTGCTGGTGCCTGCTATGTCCCCCACTGGCAGTGTGACCACAGGTGAGGCCCGCTGGGCCCTGCTTTCCTTGCCTACAGGGGAAAGGCTTCCATCTAAATGTTGCTTAGGGAATTTCCTGCTCTGCAGTCCATGCCCCTTCACAGGTGAGAAGAGCCTCTGTCAAGTGACACCTGAGGCTTGCAGTTGACCATGCTGT